GTCTCCCAAGTGATGTGCCCACATTGAAGGAATACACTAAGTAATCCACTGGGAGGGTGAGGAAAATATTGGAGCATCTGTTTATACTGATTCTTAAAATCCTATCCTTTAATTAAAAAAAATTTTTTTTGAGACAGAGCCTTGCTCTGTTGCCCAGGCTGGAGTGCAGTGGTGTGATCTTGGCTCACTGCAATCTCCGCCTCCTGGGTTCAAGTGATTCTTCTGCCTCAGCCTCCTGAGTAGCTGGGACTACAGGCATGTGCCACCATGCTCGGCTAATTTTTGTATTTTTAATAGAGTCAAGGTTTCACCATATAGGCCAGGTTGGTCTTGAACTCCTGATGTCAAGTGATCCACCTGCCTCGGCCTCCCAAAGTGCTAGGATTACAAGCATGAGCCAACGCTCCTAGCCCTAAATTTAAAAAAAATTTTTTTTTTTTTTTTTTTTTGAGATGGAGTCTTGCTCTGTCGCCCAGGCTGGAGTGCAGTGGCCGGATCTCAGCTCACTGCAAGCTCCGCCTCCCAGGTTTACGCCATTCTCCTGCCTCAGCCTCCCGAGTAGCTGGGACTACAGGCGCCCACCACCTCGCCCGGCTAGTTTTTTGTATTTTTTAGTAGAGACGGGGTTTCACCGGGTTAGCCAGGATGGTCTCGATCTCCTGACCTCGTGATCCGCCCATCTCGGCCTCCCAAAGTGCTGGGATTACAGGCTTGAGCCACCGCGCCCGGCCAAAAAAAATTTTTTTGTTTTTATAGAGATGAGGTCTCACTGTGTTGCCCAGGCTGGTCTCAAAACTCCTGGCTCAAATGATCCTCCTGCCTCTGCCTCCCAGAGGCCCAGGATTATAGGCATGAACCAACTTCCTGGCCCTCCATCCTTTAATTTTTATGTTTGTTTTTTAATGAATATGATATTCTTTTCCAGTTGAATGTATTAGCTGTGCTAATAGATAAATCCCAGATTTTCCATGGTTTAACACAGTGGAAGTTCATGTCCTGCTCAAGTCCGGTCCTGTGAGGGCCTCCTCTGCTACAGGAGGATGTGTGCATATTTTTATGGGGCTGTGCAACTGTTAGGGCTATGCAATCAGAAAAGTTTGGAGAGTAGTGTTGAAGGAACTGCCAGATTTGGAGCTGCCAGGCCACAATTTGATTCTTTTCCCCACCCCCAAATAACATAAACTTTGTAGTATACTTATTGACTGAGACAAGGCCCAAATAGCACTTAGTTTGGGGCCATCCTCACTGCTCCTGGCTACCAGATCCAGGTGGGAATGCGCAGTAGTCCTGAGCCCCCAGGGCCCAGGCTCCATGGTATTGGGATGGACAACAAGGGGTCTCAGCAGCTTTAACTACTCAATCTCCACAGTGCCCACTGGACTGTCCCTTAGAGTGACTAACTCTTTCCAGTGCTTCTGGGTCTTACCCAGTTTTAGCACTTAAAGCTCCATGTCCCCCTAAATTCCTCAGTCCCAGACAAATGAAGATCGCTTTCATGGGAAGCTTCGATATCAAAGGAGCATGGGATTGTTCAAAGAGGGCTCTCACCAGGGAATGAGTAGACAGCCTGTTTTCCCATGGACAGCCTGTTTCTCCAATATGGACGTGCAGGAGAGGAGACAGTGGTCATAATCAACTATACCCCCTGTTCTCACAGGCAGGGAAATTGACAGCTGCTGCAGGCTGTTCGCTGTTCCATTTGGGAAACTTTCCTGAGGAGCCCCTGTAATAAGAGGATAGAATATATCTGCCTTCATGACTTAAAAGAGGCTATACATTATTTTCATGTTGGTTTTCATGTCAGTGAAACTGTAATTAGCCACAGACAGGATTGTCAAGAAGTAATTTTCAGAGTTTGGTCCCCTTGAGTTAAACATGCCTGCTGACAGCTTACTGAGGACGTGTTATTGTGGGGATACCATCCAGGCCTGGAGGGACCCAGAATCAGGCAGAAGGATGCGGTCACATGGCGGAGGGACTGGAGGAGGTGACAATTAGCAGGTAGAATGGGATTCCAGGTATTTCAAGGCCAAGCAATACTTGGTGCTTTCACCAGGCAGGCAGCAGGGAAGACTGTCGGCAACAAACAGGGCACCCAACTGGCGGTCACATAATTATTTTCAATCTCTGAGAGATGATAGGAAGAAATGGGCAAAGTCTTATTTCCGAGGGTCTAAGGCTTGAGGCAGGTCAGCAAAAGAGGGACCAGGTGAAAATACAATGAGCACAACTGGAACGTGAGGTTAGGGTGAGCTCAGCAGTGACCAGCCACTTGTAGGGGACAAAGGGCCTATTTCTTGAGAAAGAAAGGTGCAGAGATATGGTGCTAAGCTGCTCCAGTACTCCAGGTGTTGCCATCTGTGAGCACAAATGCAGTTGCAATCACATCCTTGCCTAAATCTCAATGACTTCTAGCCACCTGCTGCTCACCCAGGATCCCAGCACCCCCGTTCCGCATCTTCCCAATTCCTTCTGGGAATACAGGGGATGTGCCCAGGAACACAGCTCCTGCTGGCAAGCCATTGAAGGGAGGGGCTGTGCCACTGTCCTGCTCCCCAGTCCTCTGTGAGTACAGTACCCTCCCCAGGTTCTGGAGTGCCTTCCACCACCGCCAGGAGCTGCTCTGGGTCTGTGGCAGAGGGAGATTAAGGGTGTGACTCTCCCTGACTGTCTCTTCTGTCATCTGAGGCATGGCACCGCTTGTGTCTGGAATCTCACCAAGCTCTTCATGAGGACGATCCGTCAGCGTCTGCTCTGGTCTCTGGTTTCCCATTAGGTGTGAAACTAGTTCCCTAGCTTGTGGGGGCAGCAGGGGGAACTCCAAAACATCCCCTCTATTTTTATTTCCTTTCTCCTTGCTCAAAGGCCTTCTTCCTCTTTCAGATAAGAGACACAAAAGCACACATGCCTATCAACTAATGTGGACAGATACCCAAAGAGCTTCTGCCATCTGCAGTGCGGTTTCTACATAGTTAGGACATTCTTATACAATATTATCTCTTTGTTCCCAGATGCCAAGCCAAGGACACTAGAAAAACCTCTAAGTAATTAGACTTTTATGAAGGCTAACCTGGGCTATTTTTGAAGGTGCTTTTAAAACAATCTTATCACACCTAATTTTGAATAAAAATATGTTGTGGAAAAACTTGATGCTTACATTTGGAATAATTTAAGGTGTATTACAAAACAATAAATGATGGGACAATTGTGTTATGTTTCCAAAAAAGTTCATATAAAATTTCAGTGAGTGTGAAAGGACTAGAGCCTTCCTCTGCTGCTACTCCATTTTACCTCTTGGGAAACAGGTCTATGGATTTAGCCAAGGAAAAAGAAACCTGGGAACGCTGTTTATTCTTTGCATAGTTGTAATATAAAGTACGAATTTCATCAAGTATCTTTTCACTGACCCTATCCTCGCCACTCAAAAAGACGTTAATGGAAAGACAACCATCAGAAGCAAAATCATGCCAAGAACGGGAAACAGCAGGAGGAAAAGCTTTGGTTACTTCTGTGAGTTCTAGAAAGTTGTAGTTACGGTTTGTGACATTATCAGTGTTAGGCTTTAGACAAGACATTCCTTGGGTCACCAGTGGCCTTTTGGGTGGTAATGACAACAGTCCGAAAAGGAAGAAGAAAGCAATTTTGCATTCATATTATCCATTTCCAATTTTTTAGGGGACTGATGGTCACCCTCCTGGCTCTTAGAGATGTGTGTGGGTAACCGCGCTGTTGTCTTCGCTAGTGGGCTTAAAATTTTCCATATGTGCTTCAGGACTCTACCTCAGCCACGTCTTTCTGTGAGCACTGAACTTGTTAATTATGCATGTTTCTTACCCAGCTTTAAAATATGACTGAGTTATTATTGGGGAGTTTTTTCCCATGTAGTTGAGGCATAAGCTGATAAAGTTGAATTGACCTAGACACAATTTTCTGTGGGATTATGGAGAATGAGGGAAGAATTATGCTTTGTAATTATGCTTTTTTTTGTTTTGTTTTTAATTCAGAGAAAATAGATCACTTATGGTGACCCAGGCTAAAAGACCTAGGTCTTCAACAACCAGCATCATCTATTTCTAGATCAATTGCCTTGTAATACTAAGTATTCAAGCTTTGAGGCTTACTGAAGGAAAGATATGGGATCATTTACAATCCTGTAGACTATGACCTTCCACCAGGATCTACTCAAGACCTCATCACACATTACGTTAAAGTTCTTTCTGGTGGTGAAATTGTCAGCAAAGAGCTTGGCCAACCTAATCAAGATCACTTGGGGGGTATACCTTAGGAGGGAGGATGAATATAATTCATCTTTTTCCCTTTTGTTAGATGCAGATGAATTAATTATAGTTCCCAGAGAACTATTCCCTTTTGCTTAAATTAGTGTCAGATTTTCCATCCAAGTCTTCTATGAATAGAGGCAATATGACTTGACATTAGGACAGAGCTTTGGAATCTAGAGATGGATGCTGTCTATCTTTGATTCTCTGCAATGCATGTCGGTCTGGGCTCTCAGGCCTTAGTTTATTCCTCCATAAAATGGGAGTGAATATGCTCACTCATTTACTTCAGGAGATTTTTAAGGGTATTATTTAAAGACCATTTTGTAATGTTCTGGGTAACTCAAGTGGAAGGCAATGGATGTGAGTGAATTTTTAAAATAAGAAATCTCTTGAATATGAATTGAGTGATCTCTTAAGTTCTTCAGATAAGATATGGGGTGATATTTAGGCTCAGGAGGCCTGTCTTTTGGGAAAGTGCTATGACTCACTTCTACTACTGGCAACTTATATGTAGGAGAATGATTCTTGGCCCTGCTCTGAGGTTTAAACAATGTTCAACCTTGAAAGATTGATTTTAAATGTAAAGGTCATTTAAACTCTTTTGTAAGTTCTTATATTACTTTTGTTAAAATAGGCGAACATTTACCTCTAGATGAAAAATCAATGCTTCAGTGTAAAGTTTTCTCATAAAATAACCTATGTCTTTATTTTTTTCCGCAGACAAAACTGTGTGGAGTTTTATCCTATATTCATAATTACATTGTGGATGGCTGGGTGGTATTTCAACCAAGGTAATGTTAAAATACAGTCAACTGTGTTCTAATGATGACTATGGTGCTTAAATGATTAAGGAGCGGCTATATGGCCAGGCATGGTGGCTCATACCTATATTCCTAGCACTTTGGGAGGTCCAGATGGGCGGATCACCTGAGGTCAGGAGTTCAAGACCAACCTGGCCAAAATGGTGAAACCCTGTCTCTACTAAAAATACAAAAATTAGCCGAGCGTAGTGGCACATGCCTGTAATCCCAGCTACTCGGGAGGCCGAGGCAGGAGAATCATTTGAACCAGGAGGCAGAGGCTGCAGTGAGCTGAGATCGTGCCACTGTACTCCTGCCTGGGTGACAGAGACCATCTCAAAAAAACAAACAAAAAGAGGAGCAGATATGCAACTACATAGCTACCAATCCTGGAGACTAAACAAAATAAACAGTGTGTGCGTCAGAGTGCTATGTTGCAGATATATGAACTTTGGCTTCATTCTAATTTAATTCAATAATGAAAAAAATATTGAGACAATATGCTAGATATTCAAGGATGAAAATGACATGAGCTTTGTCTTCAAATCTAATAATCTACAGTTGACTCGAACAATGGAGGGGTTGGGGCGCTGACCCCCTGCCCCACACACACATAGTAGAAAATTTGCATGTAACTTTTGATTCCCCAAAACTTAACTACTAATATCCTATTGGTCTGGAAGCCTTACTGAGTACTTACTGAGTACAGTCTACTAATTAATATTTTCCATATTTTATGTATCATATACTGTATTCTTACAATAAAGCATGCTAGAGAAAAGAAAATGTTATTAAAATCATAAGGAAGAGCAAATATTTACTATTTATTAAGTGGAAGTGGACCATCATAAAGGTCTTCATCCTCATAATTGTCACGTTGAGTAACCTGAGGAAGAGGAAGAAGAGGGGTTGGTTTTGCTGCCTCAAGGGTGGCAGAATCAGAAAAGGTGAAGGAGGTAGAAGGGGAGACAGAATTGGCAGGCGCAGTAGGTATAAATTTATAGAAATATTTCTGACGTTTTTGCTTTTTTCTCTAAAAATGTTTCTATATAGTACCAATCCTTCTTCCACTGTTGCGTTTAGTTTCAGTGCTTGTATCATAGAAGGGTCCATGTCATAAAAGAAGTAAAAAAGCGGACTTGAATCATCAGAACCCTTCTGCCAGATTGTCTAATGTCAATTTGTTTTCTGGTACTGCCTCTTCTGTCTTCTTCCTTATCATCTGGCAGTGGTTCAGAGCACTCGTCTCTACCAAGTCATCTTCTATTAATTCATCTGGCGTGGTGTCTATTAGCTCTTGAATTTCTCCAAGATTCATATCTTGAGACCCTTTATCCCCCCACATTCTTTGCCACAGCCACTATCTCTTTCATGATTTCCTTGATTGGCTCTGTTGTAAATCCTGTGAATGTCATGCACAACGTCTGTACACAGTGTTCTTCAGCAGGAATTTATTGTTTCAGGTTTGATGGCTTTCACAACCTTCCTATAACAATCCTTCTAGGCATTCATAATGCTCTTTCTATCAGGGTTCTCTTCCATAACATTGACAATCATTCCCATAGAGTACCTTGTATCATGAGCCTTAAAGGTCCTGATAACCCCCTGATTTAGAGGCTGAATTAAAGATGTTGTATTTGGGGGCAAGTAGACTACTTTTATGCCTTCTGTGTTGAACTCATGGGGTTCTGGGTGGTCAGGGACATTGTCCAATATCAAAAGAATGTTAGAAGGTAATTCCATCCTGACTTCAGGAACAAAGCATTGATGGAACCAATCCAGAGAAGAGGTTCTTGTTGTCCAAGCTTTTTTTTCTGTACAACCAAATGACTAGCAGGTACTGTTTATCTTTTTCCTTCAAGGCTCAAAGGGTTAGCAACTTTATAGATAAGTACAATCCTGAGTATAAACCTGACTGCATTTACACAAAACAGTAGAGTTAGCCTATCCTTTCCTGCTTTAAATCCTGGAGCTTGCTTCTCTTCTTTACTAATACATGTCCTTTGTGACTTTTTTTTTTTTTTTTTATCCCCAGGACAGGGCACTTTTGTTTGTGTTAAAAACCTGTTCAGGCAGATACCCTTTCTCCTCAGTGATTTCTTAATGGTGCCTGGGAACTTGTGTATTGCTTCTTGGTTGGTAGAAGCTGCTTCTCCTGTTATCTTGATGTTTTAAAAGCTAAACTTCTTTCTAAAATTATCAAACCATCCTTTGCTGGCATTAAATTCTTCAGCTTTAGATCCTTCATCTTCCTTTTGCTTAAAATTGTCATATAAGGATTTTGCTTTTTCTCAAATCCTATCAGAGTCTACAAGTATGTGTTTCTTATAGCAATCCTGCCCCCACATAAAAGCTGCATTTCAATATGAGATAAAAAGATATTCTGGAAAAAGTGCAAGGTTTCTCCCCCTGCTAGTATAGCTGTAAGTGACAGCTTTGCAAATCACCTTTTCTTTCTTTTTTCTTTTCTTATCTTTTCCTTTTTCCTTTCTTCATCTTCTTTTTTTTTTTTTTTTCCATTGGTCCTTGCACTGAATTCATTTATCTTGTAGTGGTGGTCAACCATAGCTCACAGCTGCAGACCTCAATCTACGAGACATATTAAGCCATTCAATTTTTTCTTCTAATATCATGACTTTTCTCTGCTTTTTGGGAGCACTTTCAGCACCACTAGTAGCAATCTGTGTGGGTCTCATGGCATTATTCAAGGTTTATGGTATTGCACTAAACATTGATGAAAATAGGCAAAAACCCTGAGAGATCACTTTTTACGGTGATACGCAATTTGCTGGAGAGAAGAAATGCTCCGGTGGAGATGATTAGCATCACCTTTTAAGCAGATACTTGGCAACACTTGAGCTCACTGCAATAGCAACAGGAAGTGGCTACAAAATATTTATAATAGTACAGTATTACTATAGTTAATTTTATGCAGTTATGATTTAATACTGCATCTTTACATTTGTTTACATTTCTCTCAACTACAAATGGCACCATGTATTATGGTCTGTGTTTGTATGCTTTGATAAATTTTAACTTTGTACAAAATTCATGTATATATCTATATAGGCTTTCTGCTGAATGCTTTTAAAAACTTGTGTATATTTTATGATAGTAAATGATAAAATAGACCAGTATCTACATCTGTTTTATGCATTTGTGACCTACCTTTTCCTAATTTTTCAGTATTTCTGGGCTATGTGGTTCATTTGTGAGTTTTGTCAAATTGTCACAAATCTCCAAAATGTTTTCGAATATATTTATGTGTGTATTTTTGTAAACCCACCTCCTGCACAATCCAGTATATTTATTGGAAAATATTCATGTATAAATGGACCTGTGCAGTTCAAACCCATGTTGTTCAAGGGTCATCTATAATTCTAATTAATTGAAGGAAGAGAACACAGAATGAACAATTCACATTAATAATTATAGCTGGCCAGGCCCAGCAGCTTATGTCTGTAATCCCAGCAATTTGGGAGGCTAAAGTGGAGGGATTGCTTGAGGCCAGAAATTTAAGACCAACCTGAGCAACAAAGGAGACCCTGTGTCTACAAAATTTTAATTAAAAAACTATCTGGGCACACATGTAGTCCCAGCTACTTGGGAGGCTGAGGTGGGAGGAGCTCTCAAGCCCAAGAGTTTCAGGCTGCAGTGAATCATGATAGTGCCACTGCATTCCAGCATGGGTGACAGAGTGAGACCCTGTCTCAAAAAGAAAATAATAGGGCTGGGCGCGGTGGCTCAAGCCTGTAATCCCAGCACTTTGGGAGGCCGAGATGGGCGGATCACGAGGTCAGAAGATCGAGACCATCCTGGCTAACACGGTGAAACCCCGTCTCTACTAAAAAAAAAAAAAAAGTACAAAAAACTAGCCGGGCGAGGTGGTGGGCGCCTGTAGTCCCGGCTACTTGGGAGGCTGAGGCAGGAGAATGGCGGGAACCCGGGAGGAGGACTTTTTGGGGGCCAGGAACTGGTCTCTTTTTTTTTTTTTTTTGAGACAGAGTCTGGCTCTGTCGCCCAGGCTGGAGTGCAGTGGCGCGATCTCGGCTCATCGCAAGCTCCGCCTCCCGGGTTCACGCCATTCTCCTGCCTCAGCCTCCCAAGTAGCCAGGACTACAGGCACCTGCCACCATGCCCGGCTAACTTTTTGTATTTTTAGTAGAGACGGGGTTTCCCTGTGTTAGCTGGGATGGTCTCGATCTCCTGACCTCATGATCTGTCCGCCTCGGCCTCCCAAAGTGCTGGGATTACAGGCGTGAGCCACCGCTCCAGGCCGCCGGGGAGTGTTTTTAAGTGTTATGCATACATTGTCCCATGCATCAGATTTACGGGATTTAAAGCCTTCATATGAGGGAGGGTCTATAATTAATTTCTACCTTACAGATGAGGAAGCTGAGGTACAGAGATGTTAATTAATTTTTCCAACTTGACATTCACCAATGTGGGGAAATTTTTCTTTTCAAGTGCAGAGCCGGGTCTGTAGGTATTTGTGTCAACAACTCATGCACCTTTTCTTAAAGGTCTCCAAGTATATAGTGCTGCCGTTTGTATGTAGCCACTCTACAAACATCCACTTTCTGTTTGACTGGGATATCCTTGGTGAGCTGAGAGGGCTTTCTCTAAACTTGGCTTCTGCGTTTAACAGTGAGTCAGACCAGCCCCTGCTACCTTCGTTGGAGAAATTCAATCCCCTTTTTCTGGTAACTTTCACTGTCTCATTTTGGTCTATACTTGATTGCCAAGATTTAAATAAACCAAAATCCAGCTACTTTCAAAGGCAACCCCATCACTGTCTTCCTTATAGTTTTTACTGTGAACTGAGGAATTTCAGGTACAATGTCCTTTAGAGAAAGACTTCTTCACTTTATTCCAACTCATATTTGTGTCGCTTAAGGGCATGAATGAAACCGCTGTTCTTTGTCATGTAAGAGCACATTAACAACTCATAAGAAAAGCGCCTTTTGGTAATGGGACTCTGTCTCTGCCATTTGACCCTTTGGATTTCTCTGTGATAGGCTGAATGATGCAGAATGCCTGTCAGAAAGGATTTCTTGAGTGTCTTGTCAGAAATTTTTCATTCTTTCTCATCCAAAGTCAGGCACCTACTAACTGTTCCTGAACTGTTCTCATTGGCTTTCTGAGAGTAACTCCCTAGACAGGGAGTCTCAAAACTGAGAACCATGTTCAGAACTCTTTGGCTTCCTCAGACCCTGGGAAGGGTCTACCAGCTCTTCCTTCCCAGCTCTTTGCTTGGTCCCCTTGTTCCTGTCCTCTGGCCCCAATACAGATGTCATCCCCTCCAGAGGCCTTCCTTTACCCCATTTTGGCAGCCTCGTCCAGTTCCTCTCTCTCCCATGTCTCTTCATTTCTTTCACAGCACTTTCAAGTTTACACTTTTCTTCTCATTTTTGTCTTTGTCGTCTGTCTTTGCTGAGAGAATGTATGCTCTATGAAGTCAGGGAGCTTGTATCTTTTTCACTGCCAACCTCAATCCTTAAAGTAATACCTGGTTTATGGTAGATATGGGGCTAGGTGTGGTGGCTCACACCTGCAATCCCAGCACTTTGGGAGGCCAAAACAGGAGGATGGCTTGAGCCCAGGAGTTCAAGACCAGCCTGGGTAGCATAGGGAGACCTTTTCTCTACAAAAAAAATTTAAAAATTGGCCAGGCCTGGTGGCATACACCTGTGGTCCCAGCTACTTAGGAGGCTGAAGTGGGAGGATTGCATGAGCCCAGGAGGTCAAGGCTATACTGCACCCTGATCATGCTACACATTCCTGCCTGGGTGACAGAGCAAGACCCTATCTCAAGAAAAAAAAAAGTGTGGCCAAGTAAAATAAAAAATTTAATCTAGCATATCACAGTCCCACACACAGACTCCAAATGTTTACAGTAGGGCTCTGGCAACTTGCATCTGTGAGGTGCTGAGGAAGGGAATGGAGCCCTAACATAGAGAAGACAATGATATGTTTCACTGGATGCGATGATAGAACATCATAGTACTGTATTTTATGTTTCTTTTTCAGACAAATTTTATATGTAATAAAATGCATAAATCTTCAATGAATTTTGAGAAGTACACACACCTTGTGGTCCAAATCTCTATAAAGATCTAGAACATGGCAACCACCCAGAAAGTATCCTCCTGCTTCTCCCAGTCAGTCCCCATTCTCACTCCCAGATGCAAGCACTTCTGATTGTTTCATCATTTAGTTTTGTCCATTCTAGAACTTCATATAATTGGAATCACATAGTATGTAGCCTGTGTAATGCTTCGTTCACTCAGCATTGTTGTGTTGCATAGATCTGTTTGTTTTCATTGCTGAGTAGCCTTCCATTGAATAGACCCTGTAACAGCTTGGTTATCCATTCTCCTGTTGATAGACCTCTGGGCTGTTTCCAGTTTTTGGCTATTATGAATAAAGCTGCAATGAACATTCTTAAACAAGTCCTTTTGTGAATACACGCTTTCATTTCTCTTGGATAAATATGTAGGAATGAGATTGCTGAGTCAAATGTTATGTTCAATTTTATAAGAAACTACCAGAACTTTTCGCAAAGTGGCTGTACTATTTTGTATTCCTGCCAGTGATATATTCTGAATATAAGTATTTTGTCCGATATGTGTTTTGTGAATATTTTCTCAGTCTTCATACAACATCTTAACAGACTGCTGTTGTCTTTTGTGCCTTTTCTTTTTTCCCACCCCCTCTATAGTTTTTGCTACTTGTCTGGGTCTGATGTACATATATGGCCGTCACCTATACTTCTGGGGATATTCAGAAGCTGCTAAAAAACGGTAAGGAGAACCCAGTAATTTTGTATTTATGCAAAAAATAGCAGGATAAGGTCTGGGTCAGTTTCCTTCTCTTGAGAGATATTAACAGCACTGCGAGTTGTGGTGGCAAAAGTAATACATACTGTGTGAGGCCAAGTCTTGCTAGGCCATACACAGTTAGGCATGAGATAGGACAATGCAAGTATAAAACTGTGCACTGAATGTGGACTCTAGTTCCTTGCAAAAATTTTGCATCATCTCCAGAAATTTACCAAGGAAAAATCCTGCCTAGCCTTGATAATGCTTTGAATGTTCAAAGAAACCAAGTGATCTGTATGGTTAGGCATTCCCTTTAATTTATGTGATGAGCCAAAATTTTCAAATTGCAAAAATATAGATGTTCTGGACAGTGTCAATGATAGGACAGCCTATTTCAGGACGCTCAGCTTCCTTATTACAACCCAGTTTGTCACTTTTCTCTCTCATGTCCACCCTGCAGGATCACTGGTTTCCGACTGAGTCTGGGGATTTTGGCCTTGTTGACCCTCCTAGGTGCCCTGGGAATTGCAAACAGCTTTCTGGATGAATATCTGGACCTCAATATTGCCAAGAAACTGAGGCGGCAATTCTAACTTTTTCTCTTCCCTTTAATGCTTGCAGAAGCTGTTCCCACCATGAAGGTAATTTGGTATCATTTGTTAAATAAAAATAAATAAATAAAGTCTTTATTCTGTTTTTCTTGAAATGGCTTTGTAGAAACACACCCTTTAGAGCATACATTTCCTGTTTAAGAAATGAAATTTGCTTGGGATAGGTACATCCATATCATCAGTGGAAGTGTGTTGTGCCCTAGTTTTAGAAATGCATGCTGAAGTCATGACCGGTTGTGTGGGGACAGAGCAGCCTGACCCGTGTGCTGCCCTTTCTGAGGACTACTGACGTAACCTGCCACTCTGCTTCTCTCTTGATGGAAAGTTTCAGACAGAAGCTGATAAGGCAGCTGAGCCCTTTCATTGGTTATAGGAAAACAACAGATAGGAAGGCAGGTAGGAGACATCAGGCAAACACATAGAGTAGCCAGAGAAGGGAGTCATCAACTGATAGCACAAAACAAAACAGGTTATAAAAGGCTGGGTGCGGTGGCTCACACCTGTAATCTCAACACTTTGAGAGGCCAAGGAGGGCGAATCACGAGGTCAGGAGATTGAGACCATTCTGGCTAACACGGTGAAACCCTGTCTCTACTAAAAATACAAAAAATTAGCTGGGCGTGGTGGCGGATGCCTGTAGTCGCAGCTACTCAGGAGGCTGAGGCAGGAGAATGGCGTGAACTTGGGAGGCGGAGCTTGCAGTGAACCAAGATCGCCCTACTGCACTCCAGCCTGGGCGACACAGCAAGACTGTGTCTCAAACAAACAAAAAAAACCCAAAGAAAAACAAAAACAGGTTATCAAAATGTACTTTATAAAGTAAAAAGTGTTTCCAAGCCAAAAGAGCTTGCTGCCTGATGACCATACTGCAAAACCAGGTTTTTGAGAAAAGAAAAAAATTTAATTTTAAAAAAGAGACAGTCTTGCTGTCACCCAGGTTGGAGCCTCCAACACATAGGCTCAAGCAGGCCTCCTGCTTCAGCCTCCAGTCTGGGATTCAGGTGTAAGCCACTCTGCTCAGCCATCAAAAGCTTAATATTGCAAGTCAACTCACAGGGAGATAGGAGTCAAGCTCAAATCTGTCTCCCTCTGCTGGCTTCCAAGCAGTATTTTTATTAGAAAATGTCAGGGGGTAAATTCTGAGATTAGTAGGTGATTGGTTGAAAGGAAGGGGAGGTCTGGAAAGTCTTTGGGCATGTCCAGTTATTTCTTTATGCTGCCTCAGGGGTAGCATGTGCAGATTCCAGGGGAGTTAATATGAAATGTCGTGGAAATTCAAACTGTGACATCAGCAAGCTTGTTCTGTGCAGACTTCCGTTAGCCATCTTGGTTCCAACGGATTTCAGCCATTTTTTTTCTTTTTCTTTTAATCTCATAAGCTGAGAGAGTTTCAGTGTTTCCGTAAGTTATTTCTTTTCTTATCTGCCATCCTCCAAACTCAAGAATTTCCTTTAGTCATTGGTTTCTTTAACTCTTTGAGGCACAGTTTCAAGAGGAAGAAGAGAAAAAGGATATAATTTCAAGGAATTGCCCAGGGACCAGTGCGAAGAGGATATTCTTTCTCTTGGCGGAGGAAGGTGGGTCATGCTCACGATTGTAGAACCTGGGTTGGGTTCTGCTGTACGCCCTGTGTCATGTGGGGTTTGGAGGGTGTTATGGAAAGTACAGCAGAACCCCCAAAGCTGTTCTGACCCTGATGTGCAGTCATTGTCTGGCACAATGCAGATGACTTTTCCTCATTTTCTTCATCTGTAAAATGAGAACGATTCTACCTCACAGCTTTCAAAGAAAAGGTAAAATGAATTGTGAGCATATATAACACATTTTGACATCAGGAAAAGGGCCCTCTGTCCATTTTCCAAAGAAAATTGGACAGCCTTGAGTCTGGTGTGGGCATCTTCAAAAGTTGTTTATTGTACTTTTCTTTTTTGGTGGATACAATAGAAGTTAAAAAGGCCAGGAATAATATTAACAGAAAAAGAAAGAAAGACACTTAAATACAAGTGTTCCCATAATACATAACCTCCTGCATCCCAAATAGCAGTACAGTATTAAATACCCCAAAGCACACTGAGAATATACTGGTCTGGGAGTGGACATATTTGCATACTCAGGTTCCCCTACTCACTGGCCATTTGAATTTGGACAAGGCACCCCATCAGTAGGAGGCTGTGAAGCAAAGAAGTGAAGACTTCAGAACCAGACCACCCTATCCTGTCCTATCACTTGCTGGCTGTGCTACCCCAGCACTTTGTAGCTCTCTGCCTTGGTTTTCTTTTAGGTAAAATAGGGAAAATACGCTAAAAAGCTATGATTCTATGGCCTTTTTACTTAATATTCTGATCAATTATGGTTGTGACTTGGATTGTGACATTTTAATTGTTTTATACATTGAGACCAATGAAGGATGAGAATGCAAATTTTTGATACTAAGGCATAATTACTTCATAACCATGTCCTTTGCAAGTTGTAAGAAACTTTCCAAATCTTACAACTGAAGATTTTTAAACAATTTCTGTTTTGCACTGAAATTGGCTCTGGGCAGGGTAAAACACACACACACACAGAGTTTGGTTAAACACGTGGAAATAGACAATGGCTGTAGCAGACTCTCAAGGCCTTGTCACTTTAAACATTCAAACGATAGATTTTCCTTTGTTCTAATTGCATTGTCACCAGGCAACCTTTTGATTATTTTCATTCCTATTAGAATTGGCTACAGGGAGCAAACATTACTGGCCACAGAGATGTGGGTTTCTGATCAGTTTGACAATTACATGTACATTTTTTGTATATTACTAAATTGATCAATTTTACTTTTAGAAATCAGATTCGTTGCCTTAAAAAGTCAATGTCAGGAAGTGGGGGATAGAGAAGAACTTTTCTGCATTGAGAGTCTTAAGGGGCATAAAAACCAAATGGCAATGTGAGATCCTTGTTCAAATTCTGGTTGGAAAAAAACAACTATGGGCCGGGCGTGGTGGCTCATGCCAGTAATCCCAGCACTTTGGGAGGCCGAAGCGGGTGGATCACCTGAGGTCAAGAGTTTGAGACCAGCCTGACCAACATGAAGAAACCCTATCACTACTAAAAATACAAAATTAGCCGAGTGTGGTGGCACGCACCTGTAATCCCAGCTACTCTGGAGGCTGAGGCAAGAGAATCACTTGAACCCAGGAGGTGGAGGTTGTGGTGAGCCGAGATCGCCCACTGCACTCCTCCAGCCTACGCAACAAGAGCAAAACTGTCTTTTTTTTTTATTTTTTATTTTGAGACGGAGTCTGGCTCTGTTGCCCAGGCTGGAGTGCAGTGGCCGGATCTCAGCTCACTGCAAGCCCTGCCTCCCGGGTTCACGCCATTCTCCTGCCTCAGCCTCCCGAGTAGCTGGGAGTACAGGCGCCCACCACCTCGCCTGGCTAATTTTTTTTGTATTTTAGTAGAGACGGGGTTTCACCGTGTTAGCCAGGATGGTCTCGATCTCCTGACCTCGTGATCCGCCCGTCTCGGTCTCCCAAAGTGCTGGGATTACAGGCTTGAGCCACCGCGCCCGGCCTGCAAAACTGTCTTAAAAAAAAAAAAAAAAAAAAAAAAAAAAGAAAAAGAAAAAAGCATCTATGGATGACCTTTGTGAGACAATGGAAACAATTTAAGCATAGAATACGGATAGATGATATTAGGGAATTAATGTTAATTGTTAGGTGTGATAATTATATTGTGGCTAGAGAAGAGAATACCCTCATTCTCTGGAGCTGTGTCCCGAGGCATTAAGGGGTAAAGTGGTTGGATGTACTTTGAAATGGTTCTGCAAAATATACACATGAAGCATTTATGGCAAAGTGTTAACAATTACATCTAGTTGATAAGTATATAGGTATTTGTTGTATTATTTTTTCTACTTTCTTGGTTGTTTAAAAATGTTTATAATAAAAAGTTAAAGAATCTGAAGAGAAGTTAAAACCTAAAATCAGATTCTTGGTAGCCCTGAAGATTTTCTGTGTTGAGCATTGTTAAGAGATCCAGTGATGGATCCATGGTCATCCATGCTGGCCTAGCAGCTGTCCTGGGTGTGGCAGAGACACCTGGGCCCCACATGTGTGAGAGCTGCAGTAATTACCTCCACCTGTTGCATGAAATGAGGCATGTGTCTGTGGCAACGACTCCAGAGGACACTAGTGGAGGAATTTAATGTCCTTAGTACTTAAAAGAGAATTGAGAAAACTGAATTCACAAAAAGAGGAAAAAAATCAAAAAGAAAATAAAAAGGTAAAGACTAGTTAGTTACCCAAAGCGGTAGCTCTGCTCCATTTTCAGGTAATTTTTCCTGTCCCATTTTTCTTTTAGGGGTTGGAGGTGGGTGGGGTATGGCCAAAAAAGTCATTAATAAACAAAATCAGGTCATTTGATGTTCACCCTTTTTCTCCAGACACACTCTTCCTTGAAAAGAATAGTCAGAGGTAGAAACAGCTCATTGAATGCTGTGGAATGTTCCTTAATCACCAATAAAATACATCTTTCTCACTGGGGGCAGATGTCTAGTGACTTTCTAGAAAAATGTTTATTCTCTCCTCTTTCTTCCCCCATCACCACACTTACTGCACTAGGATTTTACAAAGGTCAGTAAGAAAACATGTAAGAACTATTTGAAAAGAGAAAGGTATTTCATTCATCCAGTGCCAAACGAGTATAAGTAAAAATATGTGGCTTGAAGTGATTGGAACTAGGAGTAATCAACTCTTCTCAGAGCTTCACGTTTTTACTTCTAGTGTCAGCGTCCCCCTGTGCCCTCCCTCCACCCCAGAATCAATTCATTTTCTATCCCATGTTTTCTGGGAGAGTGCTAAGCCCATATCAAAAGAACAAAGCCCAATGCCATACTGTTTTCTACATGGTGTTATTTGCCAACCCGTCTGGAACCATAACCCACTAAGGGGAGTGATGGCCTCTTCTTCCATAATTAAATTGTTTGTTTCTTTTGGTTTGTGTATAGTAAAACTTACCTTTGTTTTGTACCTATTTTTGATGATGACTTTATCCTGTGGCCTACTTTTCCTCTTAACCTAGTTTTGAAACATGTTGTGATACTAA